CGCTAGTAACTTTCGCAGTACTCAATCAATAGTCAGTTCCTCCAAGTGTTTCGCGAATGGAAATTTGATTATATTTTATGAAGACGAATTTTTATGTTGGTGGAAATTCTTGATGATTATGACTTTCTGTGCTATTGAGTGTGAAACCCAGAAGATTCTGGAATTATATAGAATTTTGACGATGGCTCAACTAGAAGATTTGGGACCTAGGGACATGAGTGAGTTTGGGGCCATTCCGGCCGGAAAATTTTTTTTGAACACGGTCTTCCTGCATTCTGAGACACCTCAAGTTAATGTATTGTAATTGTTAGGGCCCAAGCATGGTTGTGAATAATTTTACATTGTGTGTTACCTTAAATGTCCTTATTTTAGTACTTTTTTTTAAAAGTTCAAGCAGTCCCTATGGTAGTTGAGTAACTGTGTTTTGCTTGTTAAGTGGAGATTACAAAACCCTCTGAATGAACTAACTAACTGTTATTTGGTTTTACTGATATTTTCAGATACGCAAAAAATAAACACTACTATTAGATAATCTGAGTTGTATCAAAAGAAAAGTCTTCAAATGTTTAATTTGGCTCTTTCTTTGCTAAAACAATGGTTTTTTTGGTTGCAGAAAGGTTGACACAGGTCTGATCTACTTAAAATTAGATTACAATATCAATCCTTTGTTTTCTCAAATATTTTGTCGACAATGTAAATCTAAATAGTTTTCTTCCAAAAGACTGTCCTATTCATGTTATTTTTAACCAATCAAAGAGTGTCATATATATCGGTTTCTTGGTGAAATGAGGAATTGTGGGATAGCAAAAACCATTGCTCTACTTAAGGTTTCTATATCCCATAATTCTTTATTTTATCAAGAAACGGGTTTTACGTGACCTGCTTTGATTGGTTAAAAATAATATCTTTGGCACACACCTTTGGTAGAAAACTTCCTAGATTACAAATATACGAAGTTTATATGAATTAAATTTAATTGTGATTTTGGCCCAGGTCTATTGGTGACATCTGATAAGACCCGTCGCATTCATCAAGAAATTCGAGAATTAGTCAGCAACTTGATTCACCTTTTACTAGAAAGCAGAGCGTGAGGGACTAATGAACAATAACCAGGCGCGATTTTGAAGTCGCCATTTCCATGGTCAGATCTTCAGATTTGGTATCCTGTATGGTAACACTATTGACAAAAGAAATCAGACAAAAGAGTCTGGAAGAGGAAGTTAAAGCCAGTTTCATAAAACCAAGAACTGTGACTTGAAGAGATTGTAAAGAGTTTTTCTTATCGGGAACGCCAATAGCATCAATTTACAATCTCTTTAATGGGTTCTGACATTGTTCAACGATATAGATTGTTTGTGATATATTGAGAAGTTTATTTTCTTTTTTCCATTGCTGTCAGTAAAAGTCGGTTTTATAAACATCATTATAGTTGTTTTTAATTTATTCTTGCACCAATAGCCTTATATATATCATATCATCAGTGCCAATATCCACTTTAAAACTAATTTAAACAAAAACATAAAATTTATATTTAAATCTATTGTAAACTGAATCTGTCCGGCATACCGTATTTGGAAAAACTACTAGCAACTGACCATAACTGGTGAAATCATATCTGAATTTCACAAGTTGTGATCATTTTGTACTTGTATAGGATGGTCGATCCGATACGTCCAAATCTCAGGCTGTCAACTTGATCACAGTTACCAATAATTTAATGTAATTAAAATTATGTTACAATTTCGTATCGTTTTGTATTTACTGATATTGTTAGTCTCTATGCAATCTATAAGGCCGAAAAGCATCATTAGTATCAATATTTATCACCTCTTCAAAGTCATACTGGGCTATGTTATCGATATCAAACATGTTTAAAGGTATCAAATCCCTTAGGCAAATAAACTGGATTAATTTTGGGCCAATATTTAAATTTTGAAGTTTTTCTTGAATACCTGGTCCAAAACACATTCTGATTTGTCGACGACATAATTCTGTCAAACTCAAGTTGTCACAAAATCTTTTAAATTTCTTTTCGTCAGGATCATCCAATTTAAAAATATCCAGAATGAGTTGTCTTTGTACACCACTGTGATAAAATATTTTTGCCAGATCCAAAGGATGGTCACGGTATTCATGTGAAAATTTTGAGTATTACTGGATTAACTTGATTTACCAAATCGCCTCACCGTATTCAAAACCGACAATTTTATCATAAATAAGGATATTTAGGGCTCTAAATTGCACAAATATCATACTACTCTTCCATTCTGTTAAACTAAGCAATATAAGACGGAGTAAAGAGTTTTATAAGGCAACGGTGAAGCAAAATGTGAACGAGTCGGCAATTTTTATTTAGAAATGCCGCCATCTTGTAAGGGGAGATAACATATATTATTGCCTTATTGTGGTTTGGTGGTACGTTGGTTACGAATTCTCTTGCGGAAGCTGTATCATTTCCGGTTAACTTTTTCTGAAAAAGGGAATTGCAGGAATCATAGGCATCTGGGGAAGAATTTGAATGTCCCAATCGAAGTCGAAGGTGTCCCCGATACACATAAAAAGCCTAGAAAACCTCTTTACAATCCCATTAAACTGGATCCGAAAGAGAGTAGCCTAATACATGTTAATTAAAATGGGCTAAAATACCCACAACATACAACTGAAACAACAGTATACATATACTGTCACAATGGTCAATGTGATACCGATGATTGTTGCGCAGTTTTGCGTAACTTTACCTATTATATCGGTTCAGTTTCAGAACGCGGCGTCTGATGTTTGAAATCCATCTTACTTTTGGAGTGTGTACCTTATTTTGCTATTTTTAATTAACTAGATAGAACTTATTTATCTTCATAAAGAGGTGATAATGACACGAATGCATGACAAAACCTGCCATATGAATAAAGTCCGTTTAATCAATTATCTGTTGTCTGTGATATCTGATTACTATCCAATAAAAACAGATAAAAATCCTGTCTAACCTCTTCCGTGTCCTGCCATTGTAAGACAAGTTATAAATGTCTTCATGGATTCCTCAAATATATCGGATCCTTATTACAATCATTTGTTCACATCTACTCTACATTCATGTACACCCGGGTACGTTAAATACTCCTTTTTGACTTGTAGAATTGCCATTGATGAATACACACACGAGAAGTTGACAGTGAGAAATATTATGGGGTTAACTTAATATAAATTGTCTGGCTGTGTCGGCCAATCGAAATAATTGTGTTTTTTTTTTTTTGCATAATGTACATTTTAGAGTAAACAAAGTTTTAACACGTCTGTTAGCATATCAAATGATTATTTCACAATAGATATTTCACCACCATTTATCAGTAATATGAGCATTTACTTTAATCAACAAGACGTTATCAAATATATTAGTTTGATTATCAATAAGATTTTATAAATATAAAAGTTTGATTTTCAATAAGATTTTATAAATATATTAGTTTGATTTTCAATAAGATTTTATAAATATATAAGTTTGATTTTTAATAAGATTTTATAAATATATTAGTTTGATTTTCAATAAGATTTTATAAATATATAAGTTTGATTTTCAATAAGATTTTATAAATATATAAGTTTGATTATCAATAAGATTTTATAAATATATAAGTTTGATTTTTAATAAGATTTTATAAATATATAAGTTTGATTATCAATAAGATTTTATAAATATATAAGTTTGATTTTTAATAAGATTTTATAAATATATAAGTTTGATTTTTAATAAGATTTTATAAATATATAAGTTTGATTTTCAATAAGATTTTATAAATATATAAGTTTGATTTTTAATAAGATTTTATAAATATATAAGTTTGATTTTCAATAAGATTTTATAAATATATAAGTTTGATTATCAATAAGATTTTATAAATATATAAGTTTGATTTTCAATAAGATTTTATAAATATATAAGTTTGATTTTTAATAAGATTTTATAAATATATAAGTTTGATTTTCAATAAGATTTTATAAATATATAAGTTTGATTATCAATAAGATTTTATAAATATATAAGTTTGATTTTTAATAAGATTTTATAAATATATAAGTTTGATTATCAATAAGATTTTATAAATATATAAGTTTGATTTTTAATAAGATTTTATAAATATATAAGTTTGATTATCAATA